TCCAAAACATTTCATGGGGTAGAAGAACGAAGCATGCAACGGAATTGGCAAAATAAAAATCATGAAGGTGATTGATAAGATTTTTTCAGATCGATGGAATCACTGACTGATCTTCTTGCTAATCTATTGACTAGCCTTCTTCCAAATCCAATCAGTGCTTATCTAACCAACTTTTAAAACAGAATAATACAAAATAGATGTAGGTGATTATCTAGGTGAGAAACTTCGACCCAAAGTGGGTGTAACTAATGGATCCAATGACTCCCATGACCAGACCAAAAAACCCAAAATCTGTCTGCAATCATAATAGTACTAGTAGATATAGTAAATAAACTAACATGCTGAGCAAAGCAACGAGGTTCTCCAAGAATTATCATAAAATTTTTTAAAAACAAGTGTTAGAATAATTAAGAGGTTGAAGCTTTTTTTTTTGAACAGCAAAAATAATATTTATTGAAAAAAGAAGTACAAGGATTTGGAGCTAGCCCCACCTTTCACGTAGGATTTGGAGTTGATTCCTATTCTTGGCAAATGTTAGAAGGAAGATGCAACTAGCGAAGAAGTAATGTGTTTTGATCCCCTTTTTGTATAATAGCTTGGTTGTAAATTTAAGTCCACCATAAAAGTCATTGCCAAGAACAGCGCAATTTTTCCCATCCACATGATCTTTGACAATGGTTTGGTGAGATGCAACTCGAAAGCTTTTGATTGATTCTTCATCTTCTTGCGCAAAGCTCTTATTGTCGATTGCCGATACACTTTGAGAGCTTCCCGTTCCCGTAGAGCATCCACCTCTTCTGCAACCTAATAGAATAGAATTATATATTATCTTGAAGATAAGATTGGCTAATGCCAATTGTGGATGAAAATAGAAAACCATCCTTACAATATGTACAGTTAAATTTCTCTGGGATAAAGAACTCTTCCTGGCCGATCACGGTGGTTCATTCCGGTAAATTCTTCATGTATATATAGTTAATGTAAAAGAAAGCGAAAGAAGGCCGGCCACACAGGCAATTAGTTTTCTTTTTTTTTTTTTTTTCTTTTAAACTTGGCGTCGGACTCAAATCCCACATTTCCTAAACCTAGTATGAAAGGTGCCTTACAAAAGTGAAATGGTCACTGAGGGGACGTTTCTCAACACGGGTAATTGATTTAGTCAACATATTTATTAAATAGAAATGATTATCTTATTTATTAAAAATATTATAATAAATTTTTAAAATTAAAAATAAAAAAATAAATTATTAAAATTATATATATATAATATGTAAAATTTATACATTAATAAATTTTTATTATATATATTTTTTGAGCCTTCTGGTGACCCAATTAAAAACACCATTGGGTACAACTGCTGGCATAGTATTCCCGGCTGCAGCAACGCTCCTCTCCCTCTCCCCATCGCAAACCCAAAAAATAAAAATAAAAACGAGAACAGCCCGCCGGAGATCGGAGAGAAAAAAAAAAAGAGTAACACAATCAAAGGAAAAGAAAACCCTTCAAGAAGGAGGCGAATTAAAGGAAATCTGGAAAGGATCGGAATCATGACCCAGTTGAAAAAAAGATTGGTACTCTTGAAGAAGTAGATGGATCGGAGAACGGGGGCGAGGATAAGAGAGGGAAGAGAGAAAGAACTGGATGGGAGCAAGGGAAAGGGACCTTCTCTTCTTCTATGCAAACTACGATACAATTTTTATTATTTTGACGAATTTATTAAGTTTATTAATTTTGGGCATTTGTCTGGCTGTGATGGGACGATGGCATTTCCTTCCTTTCTCTCCTGCCCCCACACGGACTGGCTCCAACTTGGTTACTTCTTCCTTTTTAGTATTTTTTTTTCTTTTTCATATCTTATTTTCATCATTTTAATTAGTTATTATTTCCAGAATAATCCTAAAAAAAAAAATTTGTTGTTATTTCCAGAATAATCCTTTCCTTCTCAGCAATTTATCTTCAAATTTGTAACCTATAAATCCTAAGAATATTATAGATTGCACCTAAGGCCGCCTCAGATAAGGTGCATTGAATTACTTTTGATAAATGTAAGAATTTTATCTACTGTACCAATAGTTAAATTCTTTTTTTTTTTAAATTTTCATGTTTTAAAAAATAATATTATAGATTGAAAAATGATATTCCTTTTATTCCACTTTAATCTCCTTAGTTTTTATCTTTTCAAATAAAAAAAATATAATAATTCATTGATAAAATTTTATATTTTTTACTTTTTTTTTAACATGAGGAATATGAGAAAGGGGGGTCGAGTTTACCAGGATTAGAACCAAGGTTTTAGTCTTGGTATATCTGTACTTTATCAAGTGCAACAAGTGCTGCGAGTGCTATATTTTTCACTAATTAATTATTAATTAAATAAAATTTATTATCTAAGAGTAAAAATTCATTTACACACTAAATTTTATATTATGTTTACATAAAATTTCAACAATTGAAAGTAAATAGATAAATTATTGAGATTTTATATAAGTGTGATATGTAAAATTTATGTATAAGTAGATTTCTCTTTTTTATTTAATATATGTTGTAATTATTTTTTAAAATAAATGTAAAATAAAAATAAGTGCATTAAATGACATCAAGATAATTAAATTTGAACACTCTAAATTTAAAATGAAATTTGTTAAAATTTAACAAATAGAGTATTAATTAGATTCACTCAAAAAAAATAAATTATACAATACGAGACAACTCTTTTACATTTATTTACCCACCCTATTCACATGCATATAGTTCAAATTATGATATCTTTTCTTACCTTACTTAAAGTAAAAATTACAACTAAATTACTTAAATTATTTACATTTAAATATTAATTAGATGTGAACCGCAATAGTAGATGTTTTGAGTTAAAATTCTACCACCTCTATTCCATTTGAGTTATCATTAATCCATGGAACACCATTTCTTCTTCTTCTTCTTCTTCTTTTTTTCATTAAAGGGTTCCTTTCTTTGGTACTTTCATATGCGACAAATCTGTGTGTATATCCAATACCCCTGTAACATTATTCTGGTGGAAACATATAAGTATTCCAGAATACCCAAGACGGTCCATGCCAAAGTAGAAGAAACAAATAAAATTTAAAATTAAGACTCCAAAACATTTCATGGGGTAGAAGTAGGAAACATGCAACGGAATTTGGCAAAATAAAAATCATAAAGGTAATTGATATGATTTTTACAGATCGAGGGCATTACTGACTGATCTTCTTGCGAATCTATGGATTAGTCTTCTTCTAAATCCAATCAATGCTTATCTAACCAACTTTTAAAACTAAATAATACAAAATAGATGCAGGTGATTATCTAGGTGAGAAACTTCAACTCAAAGTGGGTGTAACTAATGGATTCAATGAGTCAGATGATCAGACCAAAACCCCCCAAGTTTTTCTTGCATTTTTATTGTTTTTGTTTTTTGGCCTTGTTAATAAATTAACATGCTGAGTGCAGCACCGAGGTTCCTTTAGAAATTATCATAAATTTTTTTTAAAAACAAGTGTTAGAATAAAGAGGTTGAAGTTTGGTATTGAATTTATTGTCTAGCCCCACCTTCAATGGAGGATTCGGAGGAGTTGGTTCCGATTCTTCGCAAATGTTAGAAGGAAGATGCAACTAGCAAAGAAGAAATGCGTTTCGATCCCATTTTTATAATAGCTTGACGGTAAGTTTAAGTCCTCCATAAAAGTTATTGCTAAGAACAGGGCAGTTTTGCCCATCCACATGATCTTTGACGATTGTTTGGTGAGATCACTACAAGAAGATGGGAATTCTGGGATAAAAAATTGGTTACAAAAACTCATATGTTTAACAAAAGGAATAACCAATGTACTATTTCACTAGTAGGAATAATAGGAATACATAATGAACCAGTCTTACAAATATACATGTCGACATGTGCCAACATTTACAACTCTCATTGGCGGATGTCAATAATCATGACCATATTAGAGACAAAACCATGTAGGAGCTCAATAGGAAAATCCATAATTTACAAATATGCAAGAGATAATAAGAAAGTCATAACTTAAAAACCAATTTTCAGATTTTTAGAACAAATAAGTAAACTCCATGTAGACATGCTCAACTCAATAAAAATAAAAAACAACTTCATTTTAAACCAATCATTGCTCAGGAGCAAAAAAAAAAAAAAATCAATTTAGATCTTACCACCATCTCAAAAATAGTTCAAAATCTACTTTTAAAACTTTTAGCTAAAAATTCAACGGCATTTACCATAATTTTACTTACCTCGTTTTGTAAGTACACAGCAAACAAGCATTCAAGATCTCAAGGCTACGAGGGTGATATTGTTATGTTTCCTCAGCCCCTCACCAGAATTTTTCCTCCATAAACCCTCACAAAAATGGGCAAGGAGAAAAAGGAAAACCAGAGCCCTTTATCACCAAAAATTTTCTTTTAACTCACCTTAGGTTTGTGAATTTTAACTATTAAGCCCAGTAATAATAATTTTTATCACATAAATCCCTAACTTAAATTTAGTTTCACTTGTACTAGTGTATTCATACATATATATATATATATATATATCTAATTTCAGAAATTTTGGGATATTATATGAGCACACGCAAAAAATAAGGGCATGTGGGTGCCAATGCAACTGTGGTTGAAGCAGCACATACCATATTACCATGTCCTGCTATTTAATTTGCATATCAACAAGTAAAACTACATGAGCACTATAAGACACTTTTTTCTTTTTTAAAATATGGGAAATTCGGCAAAACGAAGTAATTCTTTTATAAGTGATTGGTGAGGAGTAGAACTCCTGCCCTCTTGCTCTAAATTGTTAAGTTCATCGGTGAATAAATTAATTGGTCTAACAGGCTCGCTTCATTTCAAAAAGAACTTTAGCATAGAACAATACAATATCAGCATGATAAATGTAGACTCACCATTGCATTTCATTTAAGAAAGGCAATGATGTTAGTCGATAAAATCATTCATCTCTCAAATACTCTTTAATTAAGAAACAATTCGAAAATTTCATTTCCATTCATGCATACGGCCTTGGGAAAATTTTCAGCATTTTATTCATTTGGATTTTGGAAGATACAATAAGAGCACTCTGAGTCCAAATGAAAACTAAATTTGAGTTAGAAATCAAATGTGGTCGAGTTATGGGTCAAGCATTTTTTTTTTTTTCTTTTACATTAGGTGATGAGTTAATAACTATCTCTTTCTTTTAATCTCTTTACACTTATCTCAATATTTAAATTTAAAATTTTTAATTTAAAATTATAAAATTTTAACTAGTTGAGACGCTATGAGACAAAGTTATGGGTCAAACTCAACTTTAATAAGCTCAACTAAGAGCTTTACCACAGGTTCTACTTTTAGGTGCGTGGGTAGTCGCGTTTTCAGCCCAATTTCCACTGATTCGAACTTTCAAAGGCCCAAATGCAACAGAATCCAGTCCGTTTATAGGTCCATTGGACATTTGGACTAAGTTTGTTTAATCCAATCCAAACTTTGTTAGCCCAAACAGCCTCCAAGTATCCCGTAGTGCTAAACTCATCCGTTTTGCAGGACGTCTTTAGGAAGATATATCTAAAAATGTTATATTTTAATTAATATTTTTAATATTATAAAAGGATAATATTTTTAAAAAAAATAAATATTAGATTGAAAAATCTATTTATATAAATAATATATATAAACTTTTAAATTAATATAATAGGT